GCCGCCCCCGACCCCCCCGCCGGCTGGTCCGCCGTCTGGGCGCTCGACGACCAGCAGCGCCGCCGCCTGCTCCGGATCTGGGAGCGCGGCGTCGCCTGGAAGCCGCCCCGCCAGGGGGGCGACGGCCCGGATGCCCCCGCCCCCGCCCCCGCCGTCGTCTTCCGCCTCGACCACGGCGGGGAGGTCGAGTCCGACGGCAACTGCCTCTTCACCGCCGCGCGCAGGGCCGCCGCCGCCAAGGCCGAGGCGCGCGAGCTCCGGCACCGCGCCGTGCGCCGCTTCGCCGACGTCTACGCCGCGGCCGAGGCCTCCGACAGGGGCGCCGTCGACGCCGCCGTGCGCCACCTCTACGCGCCGGATCTCAAGGCCGGCTGGGGCGTCCACGTCGTGCAGGAGGTCAAGCTGCTCGCGCCCAAGGCCGACCGCGACGCCCTCGACGCCGCCATCCAGGAGCTCGTCGGCATCGGCATCCAAAGGTACCGTGGCCGCCCCGCCAATCCCGGATCTAGTCTTCCTGCCCGCGCTCGAATCTATTGCTACCACGCGTGTCTGGATCTAAAGACACCGTCTTTCCTTGGAATCACGCGGAATTCGTCTTCCCGTCTTGCGTTGATCCGATCCCCTTCTCTGTCGAATGAAACAAGTCTAGTCTTTTGTGCTATCTGTTTATATTTAGACCTTGCGTTTCTTGATTCTTTCTTATGTTAATTCGCGCAAGAACACCAATTGATGCAATTTCAATGCGTCATGAAGCTGCAAGAATCGCCTCACATGGTGTGTTTGTATTCTAGTACCCCGCATATAAATTGGTCAACGAAGGAATCATGGTTTTACTGTTGCCACCCTGGCATGGGCTGTAGTGGCAAAGTATGGACCTTCCAAGTAGATGATTGATATCCAGCCTGTTAATTATGCTGTAGTACATTATTTGGTACAGTACCACTTATGCCGCTTGCCTGGCAATGGTACAATTGCTGTACATTGCATCTCAATTAGAATATCGAGTTGATTTGTTTGGTACCATTATGCTTCTTGCATGTTAATTATATGTGCTTATCTTCTTCATTGCCTTGCAGGGAACTGGCAGCTGAGACTATCTACAAGGAGAGATGTATCGCTGTAGACGATGGAGATAGTTGGGCCAAGTACATGTCCATTTCTGGCTCTGCGGAGGATGAACATGACATAATCACCCTGCAGTACACAGAGGAGGGCTTACTGACCATCGATGAGAACCGGGATGGGCGCGCGGCTGCGTTTGGCGATGATATTGCCATCGAGTGCCTCGCCACCGAGTTCAAGAGAGAAGTTTTCGTGGTAATTATGTGATTTCTGTCCATAGAACTTGCCACTGTTTAATGCAGCATTTTATTTGGTGATCTGATTGGATCTTTTATTTTTTATTTGTGCGGCATTGACAGGTGCAAGCACATGGCACTGATGCAATGGTTGATGAGGATAACTGCGTGTTCTTCCTCCCACACCTCCCTAGAGGAGAAATCTGCGATGTGCCCATCTTTCTATTCATGAAGGGAACAGGTGCGTTGTAGATTGGCAGTCTTGTTGTGCTTTCTTCTGCAAGTCATTATATGTCGGAACATGTTAGCCTTAGCTAAAGAATGTCTATCTCTTCAGTTTTGTTTCTCGTTTCCCTGTCTAAGTAGAAACCCAAATATTTGCCTGCAGCATGGTGTGGTGCTGGTGCGGACCATTACGAGCCATTGATCGCCACCGTCCTCCAGCATGTTACTCCAGACAAGGCAGCTGTTGTACTTTGAGGAAGGGGGTTGTTGTTGTAGTCTTTAGTCGGCGATGCAGTCGAGTCAATTTTGTCACCGGAGCTAGAGTGCCGAATTGTGGAGCAACATCTATGCCCAAGAGGAGAGGATAGATGATCTGTCTAACTGTGCATTTGCAGGGTCTTGCCTGCTCCTGAAGCTGTGTACCCTTTTTTGTATGGCGTTTTCTGTTGTTGTATGTTGGTGGTATGGTAGGTTCTGACTGCTGCTAGAGATTGAGCGAGTGATAGAAACACCGATTCTAGCTTCTTGTTGTTGTGCACCCGATTGTTGGCCGGCATTTTCCATTTGATTCTTTTTGTGAGGGATTCACCATTTGGCGGTTGCTTGCTCGTAGGAGCGGGCATCTGCTCGGACAGTCGGAATGGAACCGATTCATTGGATTTTTCTGGTGTTGGGGTGAGGTATCTCTTCTAGCCAGCTTTCCCATGTAGCCCCCCTGTTCTTGTACTAGATTTGTTCACAAACATGTGCACAACTGGTACTTGTAATAATGGATGATGCCAATAAGATTGTGAACCTTCATTCATCAAGAGTGTGACTGAATTTGCAGTCTGCTTCATCATCAAGCTGTGTTGTGGATTTGTTCATCAAGCTGTGTTGTGGATTTGTTCTGCCTGTTTTGATGGATCGAAACTTGGGTACCATTCTTGATTGATGCTTTTGCTGTTGTTGTGTGCCATTCAATTACTTCTGGCACAAAAAAGTGTTCTGGAAATGCATTTGCGCCTGCACAATCCAGGAGGGGTTGCAGTTACCAGCAGATTGTTAAAGGTTGTGAACTTTTTTGTGTTTTGATTTCACATGGCGGTATATTGCAACCACAAGAGCATATCCCTGCTACCAGTTTGCACGTTGTAGAGTTTGACCATCATTTTTATAGCAGTGTCACGATTCGTGCTTTCCCTCTTTTTATTTAAGAAAAAGCCATCGTGACCTGCTAGCTTTATTCTAGTATTAAGTTAAGCAATCATCCACAATCAATGATAAAATATAATCCGAACAAAGTAGGTGAACTATATCTCTACGTCCCAAAATAAGTGTCTCAATCTTAGTATAACTCTGTAGAGCTACAAAAGGCAAGGAACCGGGGTGGTTGATTCGAGTAGGAATGATCGGAAACCTCATGTGGAATTGCAGGACTGAGAATCATCCGGTAGCCAAGATCAGCGATGAGATCGTTCCTGGCAGTACTAAATTGGTCACAAATGTGCGCACTGGAACTAGTGAATGATAATAAAAACCTCATGTGGAATTGCAGGACTGAGAATCACCCGGTAGCCAAGATCAGCGATGAGATCGTTCCTGGCAGTACTAAATTGGTCACAAATGTGCGCACTGGAACTAGTGAATGATAATAAAACTACGAGGTTGTATTACTGAATCTGCAGGGTCTTACTTGCTTCAAGTTGTGCTATGTATAATTTTTGGCTGTTCCGAGAGATATTTGGCTATTCCAGATTTTGCAGTTTTTACTGTTGTTGTGTTGTATTGTTGGCCTGGATTCAACTAAACCTTGTTGGCAACGAAGAAGGAAGCAGACCATAGATTCTTGATCACTGCATCACGATTTTGGACGATGAAGAGTACTAGGTTGGCAGCTAAAGACACAGTTCATGGACTCTTGATCCCTACACATTGATTACTAGATTTGTCCAACAAACAAACAATGGTGATGATGCCTGATGCCGTCTGTTTCATAGTATGTTTTACATGGCCTTGATGAATTTTCGGTGCAATTATGTGCTTAGATACATTTGGTGGTAATCCTTGTTATGCTCTCGACTACGCAACACATGGTTGCAGTCTCCGCATATGACACTGGCATGCAACTTGTTCAGTTTGGTGCAAACCACACACCTAATATTTTGATGTGGAGCATCTTTTATTAGACCGAAAGACCGGACAAATCCATATTTGTTTGTTTTTATTGAAGTATCACCAGATATTCTGGCTTGGAATTAAAAGCAGATGAATCTCCAAAAAGACGACATGAATAGATAATTATGGTCTCGTGTTCCATGTGTTATGGCCCTTGGAATTACTTCATCACAAACATGTGCACAGCTAGTACTTGAACAATGGAGGGTGATAATAAAATTAGGAATCTTCATCATTAGGAGTGACTTCAATTGGTGGAGATGCATGCGTCGTCCTTGAGTTTCACCAAGTTTTCAGGAACAACTAACTTTGTAAATTTTAATGTAACAACAACATATATTGCAAAAACAAAATAATAACATATTCTGTTATCAGTTTGCACGTCTTATACTTGACTATTTAGCAAATCATGACTCCCACTACGTTCCTTGGTGAGAATGGTCCTTGGCACACCAAACAAAGGGATTAATAATATCCTCATAAGAAAAAGAACAATTACATCCACAAATTGACCATTCACTTCATCGAAGAATAACACATTGTTTGCACATTCGTCCGTGGCATGGGGTCTTTCTTGCAAGGAGTGAGAACCAATCAATGAGATCGATAAGATCCTTCAAGCAAGTAATTCATCAGGATTAGAAACTTTTGAGAAGGAAACAAATGGGATGCACACCCTTGAACGTCTTGCTTGACACATTGATCATGTGTTTCATCGATCCAACATGTAGGAGGAGAGAAAAAAGAGGAAAATTGCACAAGCAGTAGACACTCTTCTGAAGTCTATATTTGGGGTTTTCTATAATAACTTTTCAAAAGTGCATGCTCATTTTTTGAAAAACTTTCACATTTCAGTAGTGTTTTGCAATATATCAAGATCTAAAGCCCGAAAGTGATGATGTTTTGATGGCTGAAGCCAAATCAGTAAATGCACAAACAATTGGATTTACATAGAATTGTACTTTGAATGGTATGCTTAGCAATGTGTTCTCAAGGGATATTGGAGCCAAAAGAAGAGGGGGCCTATGTCCCCCTCCCCTTGATTTACATTAGTTTGACTCACTTGCAAGGCTCTGGAATTGTCATTTGTCAGTTTAAAGCCATGATCAATACAATGTCAAATTTCTCTCATTTCAATGTGCTTGGAAGAGGAGGTTTTGACAAAGTCTACAAGGGTACAATAAAATGTTGTGAAGTGGCTAACTATCGAGTAGTTTATAGAAATGAGCTAAATTATACTTATTGACTTTTGCAAATGCTACAAGAAAATCATTGCTTGACTGGCTGACTAGATTCAGTATAATGAAGAGGGTCACGAGAAGGACATATCTGTCTCCAACAAGAGTAAGCGTAAAGATCGTTCATAGAGATCTCAAAGCGTCAACATAAATCATTTTGTGACCGGTGATACCAAATTTTGGCATGGCAATAATCTTTGCTAGAAATCAGCAATAAGCAAACACAAACCATGTTGTTGGGACATACAACCCTCACATTATGGTTTCCATGGTATAGTTAATTCATACATATGATGCTAAAGTAGAAAGTTGATGCATTGACGCTCCCAAGTCCTAATGGAATTTACATATAATTGGACTTTGATTGATATGCTTACCCATATGTCCTCAAGGATATTTGGAGCTGACAAGAGGGGGGGGGGGATGTCCCCCTCCCTCGAGTTAAGGCCCCGCTTGGTTCGTCAGTTTCAGGCACCAAAGCATGTAAAATATACCGGTGTGAAAAATACGGATGGGCCTCGCGTAAATACCGGTGTGAAAAGATTCCTTACAACACATCCATTCTTACGGAGCTAAGTATGTCCACAAAATATTGGTTGGCCACCCTCAACGGTGCCAATGATCTCATACCGGTGTCAAAAAAATGGTGCATAGACATATTAATGGATGCTTCAACGCTATGCGATCATTGGCATTTGAACTTACCAAGCATAGTTCGCTAGATACTCATTCAAAAATATCAACAAATCCCCAGTTCTAGCCTTTCTTTGAGGTACACTCCATGTACTTTAATGCAGAACTGACTAGGGCCAATTGATGGCACTCAGGGGATATAGTTACTTTAAACTTGTGTGACATGCTATGGCTACCTTGTACCATCTGGATTCTGTGCTAATCTTTTGACATACATTTTTTTTAAATTCAACCTGTTCTTTATTTATTCAAACCCGGCAGAAATATCTGCCACTATAACCTGTAGAATACAGTTAGGAGGTTCATTCAACCAAATCTTACAAGAATTATTCAAAACACTCTCCTTGGTTAACAAATGTGCTACACTATTTGCAGCCCTCCTAACCCAAGAAATTTTCCATCTTTCCCTGCTACCCAGCATTTGCTTGACTTCCTCTATGATTGGTCCCAGCGTAGAGAGGTCCCTCTCCATGCTCTGTAACTTCTTAACTATCTCCTTGCAGTCCATCTCAATGTGCAGACCATTGGCGTTAAACTCATGTGCTAACTGAACCGCATGCTTACAAGCTTGAAGTTTGGCTATTGCCGGGTCCTTGCACATTGGGAGGAAATGGCATGCACTGCCCATAAGTGTCCCTTCATGATTTCTGAAGACCACTCCTGCGCCTCCATACTCACCTATTTTTGATATAGCTCCATCCACATTGACTTTAACCCATCCTTCCTCCGACGGTTTCCACTTTTCAATAGGCACGGGTTTCTGCATTTTGCTTTTGCGTCCATGTATGGCCTGCCACTCCTCCATCAACTTAACTACAGTCCTTGCAATCACCTCTGCATCTTCAATTCTCTTTCCATCACGGGCATTAGTGCGAGCTAACCACAGTCCATACAGCACCTGAACCATGATTGCGCGCTCATCATCAGATGCATCGGCGACCCACGAGAGCAACCAACTTGAGAATGCACCCTGGGGACGAACTGAATCCGGTAGGATCGCCACCGACACCCCCAACTCTGAGTGATAGCATCCCCAAAATCTATGATAATTTGTTTCTTCCCACCCACATGCCACACAGAATACTCCCACTTTGATCTTCCTCCTCAAGAGCTCCGACCCTACAGCTAGGCCATTCCGGACGAGTCTCCAAGTGTGAGTTATCGCTT